GTGTTGGTGGGGTTTCTATAGGGACACCCACTGTATGCAGGATATCTCATTTGTCGTTGGTGCTATCAAAAAGTGATCAACTAATAAAACGCTAAGCAAAATATTTTACACATTTTACTAATTGACAACTTTTTGATAGCACCAACGACAAATGAGATATCCTGCATACAGTGGGTGTCCCTATAGAAACTCACCAAACACCAAGCAGAACACCATGATGTAGTAGTTGACGCGCATTTTTTGTAGAATTTTAGCTTCTTTATTTTTCAATTTTTTTTTTGAAAAATTTCGAAAATTTTGAATAAAACCAGAGATAAATGTATCCAAATGTGTATAGAAGTGACTAGAGAGCCCCGAGAGGAGGGGGAGGGGGGGGGGCTCGGCGAGTTTTGTTTAATTAGCTGGAAACAGTTATTAATATATAAAAATGGAGGTGGGAGGAAAGTAGGACAAAGAGGTTGAAGTATGTTACGGAAATTGGATGATTAGGATGTTTGGAACAGGAAAAAAAATGGGAAATCGGAGAAAAAACTGTTCAAGAGTTTGCCAAGTAAGGTACACCCAGTACTGTATGTTCAGAGCAGTATAACTCGGTTGTTTTTAGAGCTATCAAAAAGCGGTCAACTAGTAAAATCTTTAAAATAATTTGCTTAATATTTCTTCAGTTGACCACTTTTTGATAGCTTTGAAAGCAACCGAGATATGCTGATCTGAACTAAACCGAGATATGCTGATCTGAACTAAAAAGCTACTTGATGTTTTTGGCTCAGTGCGGCATATCTCAGTTGTCTTAAGAGATTGTGAAAAGTAGTCAACTAAAGAATTGTTAAGCAACAAATTTCAAACATATTTTCAATTGACAACTTTTTGATAACTCTAAAGACAACCGAGATATGCTTCTCTAAACATGCAGTGTCTCATTATAGGGGGACACATGACCCCTGCTATGAGAAATGCTTTCAAAACAAGGATGTTTTATTGAGCTTCCTCCTGGTGTCGCAGAGAGCATAACAATACAATTTTTGTTGAAAACATTCAGTATTAAAATTTTTTTTGTTGCATTTTTTTCAGAGAATTGTTATTTTTTGTGCTGCAATCCGTTGCATTCAAAAATTTTTCTTGAAAATTATAGGTTCGCTCTTACATGCAGTTGCATGCAAGCTTATTTTTTCAGTCACCGGATTTTTTTCCGCGGCTGAAATTGCATATTTCCCCAACAGAAAAAAATTCACAAGTTTTCAAAATTCAAAGCTTGAAGGCTGTGACTTCTCGTATTCAATCGCTAATTTACCGTTACATACGTTCCCACCGAGTTCTCTATGTTCAGTGCAATATATCTCAGTTGCCTTTGAAGCTATCAAAAAGTTGCAAACTAGTAAAAGATTTAAACTTTTTTGCTTAAAAT